CTATAATGACAAAGTCAGGAATACTTATTGGTAATTCTTTCCAAAGTGGATTGTAGCTATGGAACTTATCATCCGGAGTGCTAACAAAGGCTGTAGCAAAGAGGGTCCAGAAAGGTTCAGCAAAATTCATAAGGGATAGATACATACTAGGTTATTAAGGAAAAGTGAGATGTTCCTTTCACCTACCAAACTCCTAAAAGCACAGTCCATATTCAAAGGATGCAAATCTGAGAGGCAAAGGGATGGGGGTGGGGAAAGCTACTCTAACTCCTTGGCTACACAAGCACTTGCTTCCTCTCTCATAACAGCACATATAAAAATACATTGCAATTTTATCATACAGCTTACATTCCTGTTTTCCCAAAGGCATGTGAGCTCCTTGAGGCAAGTGTCCTGATTGGTGCTATACCCTTAGTACCTAACCCAATACATGACACCGAGGAAGCATCCTACAGAATTGTTCATTTGTCAAATGAATACTATTAATCCCTGTAGCCTCATTATCTACTCACTGCTTAATTCCTGCATTCTGGTTCCCAGTTCCATCCAAATATTGAAAAGATGCTCTTAAAAGATTGATAGAAAAGTCCCAAATGGCAAATCATTGGTCTTTATCTTTTTTGATTCTGCCATAGCATATGTCATTGTTGAAAATGCCCACCTTTTATGCTTTCTTAATACTTCCCTTTTCCTTTGCTCCTAGAATAATGTTCTGCTTCTCTTCCCACCTGCTCAAAGACTCCTGGTCTATCTTCTTTGCTAGTTCTACTTTTAGCCCCCAAGTGAGGACATTTTCAAAGTTCTGTTTTTTGATCCTTCTTTTCTTAATAGTCACTCTAATAATCCCCTCCAGTTCTGTACTATAACCAGAAGTCGCACAAACTCAACCATCTTGTGATGAAATCTATATTTATATTTCCAAGAAATTTCTGGCCCTCTTGATCTCAATGCTCTACTGTCACTTTCAGTTTCACATTCATAAAACTTACTTTATCTCCCATTACCACTCTTTTTCCTGATCTTAATAGTTTTCTTTCATAATTTAACTGTCCTTTCAGCTAATCAAACTCAAAACCCTAGGATTATCCTTGACTCCTGGCTACCCTCTTCCCCTAAATTATCTCTCTTAATTAAGGGTATGATAGTAGACTCTAATTCATCACTTACATTCTTATACATTAAATGCCTTAATATATTGCTTTGATCATGTTCCTCCACTGCTTAAAAACCTTCAATATATCCCCATTGCCGAAAGAATTATGTGCTAACACCTTAGACTCTTATTCAAGCATTCTATGTTGTAGCACCAACTTACTTTTCCAGAATTATCTCCATACTTCTATATTTCATATAGCTTATTTTCTTACTAGGCATACTATCTGCCATGTTACCAAAGTGCTTTGCATTTTCTTATTTCTGTATTTTTATTTTAAAAAAATGTTTATTTACTTTGAGAGAGAGAGAGAGAGAGAGAAAAGACGAGCAGGGAAGGGGCAGAGAGGGAGATGCAGAATTGGAAGTAGGCTCCAGGCTCAGAACTGTCAGCCCAGAGCCCAAGGCGGTGCTCAAAATCACCAACTGGGAGATCATGACCTGAGCCAAAGTCAGATGCTCAACTGAGCCACCCAGGCACTTTTCTTAATGACATTTCATTTGCACATTATCCCTACCTCTAATTCCAACTGCTGAAATCCATACTCATCCTTCAGAACCTTTTCTTCCATGACTCTTTTTCTGATATATCTAATAAGGTATATTTCCCTCATCTGAACTCAGAAAGTATACTAATATACTTCTTGTATAATACTTATTATTTTCTGCCTTATTCTGTAAATTTTCTGTATTTTTTATCTTTCCCACAAGACACAAGAGTCTTATAATTAAGGAAATCTTAATTGTTTTTACATTTTCCTCCAATATCTAGCATATACTTTTCACAGATCAGATGTAAAATAAATTAATGAATTTTAGGGGCTCATTTCCTAATCTAGGAGTTTGGTATTAACAAAATTTATAATCTGGGTTGATATTCAGCTGGTTTGTACTAGTACAACTATAGTGGCTACTTACTGGCTGTGTATATTCTCACTGGTTGAAGTCTGTGCTACTCTAGTTATCAATATTCTTTTCATAAGTATTCCTTTATAATAGTCTCCTTTGAAATATATCTTTTGCGGCTCTGAAAACAACATTCTCAGTATTTGGACTAGATGCAGTATTTGGGAGCTTTGAGATGCCTAATTTGGTAGCTCCTGGGGAGGGGACACAGGCTCAGTGTGAAATATTTATAATTTAGGCAATCAATCATGCCATTTATTAATATTTTGATTTTCTAGTGAAGAATATAAACCATCACCTCATTTTGTTGAAATGCTGAATTGAAAACACTGCAATTAGAAGCACAATTGTAGATATCTGTATTTTACATATCACAATTTCCATCTGTAAGTGATAATAATGGATATGGCAAGCAGAGCAGTACATCTGCTGTTTGTGGCTGACTCTGATTTCAGATTTTTTGGCTATTTCTTCTTATTTTATTTTACTTGATAAAAATAGCCTTCTTTATAATTTGATTTTTTCTGACTTTATCTTATCCTATTGAAATAGATGTTATTTCAAAGGAGCAAGGGTTTTGGTGTTGACCAAGGAAAATATATATAAAGTCAATGGGGCATTGAAAAGGAACCAAGTAAGGTACCTAAGAAAGTGACAACAAAAGGAGGCCAGCAAGAAAAGATGATCTAGTTAGGAAGTCAGAAACAAGGAGGAAGTCTGGGGAAATCCCCAGTTCTGTTGCTTTTAGAAAGAGGCAAGCAGGCAGGAGAGTTTTTGGCAGACTTGTCAATGGTGTGCCATCCTCCGAGTTTCCCTCATTTGAACACTGATGCTCAAGATGCTTTATCAATCATTGCCACTGTCTACTTCTACTTTCTTTATACTGCTGGATATTTGCATTGGCTGCTGTCACTTGGAATGACTGCCAGGACTAGATGTGCTGATATTTTTCACCCTGTGTGTTCCTGGAGGCATTGTAGCTACAAACCAAAGGAGGCCCCAATTTGGAATTCATACTGTAAAATTATGCAGTTTGTGAATCTATTGTCAGTATTTCACACTTGATGACACTATATCCCTTGAGTACCAAACTTACAGAAACCCTGTGGAATGATCTCTCTCTTTCTCAGTACAATCTCTCTAGAGTCAGTATGAGATGTGAGATTAATCAGACAGGGGCCTTAGCAAATATATATTAAAAATAAACAGCCTAGGGGTGCCTGGGTGGCTTAGTCAGTTAAGTGTCCGACTTTCGCTTAGGTCATGATCTCACGGTTCGTGGGTTCGAGCCCTGCGTCAGGCTCTGTGCTGACTGCCAGCTCAGAGCCTGGAGCCTATTTCAGAGTCTGTGTCTCCCTCTCTCTCTGACCCTCCCCTGTTCACGCTGTCTCTCTCTCTCTCTCTCTCCTAGAAATAAATAAAAATATAAAAAAATAAAAAAATAAAAATAAACAGCCTAGAAAGATAATGGGAGTTCTTTTATGGCACAGAATAACATGCTTATACTTATCAGCTGCTTATCAGAGAACTGACTTGATAAAAAATTATTTCAGTTTGCTTTTCACTATTAATGCTTTGATAGTTTAAGAAATAACAGTGGTTTCTATTTTCCTTAAGAGGTGGAAGGGGTCTCTGATAGCATGGTAGAAATTTTCATTTTACAGATAAAGACTGAGGATAGATGGAATGGCTGTTTTAGTGTTACAGATTAGTAGTGCTCCTAGTATTCTGCTTTGCATCATTACCTTAAAGATTAATATGAATATACAAATAGAGATTTTACTTTTCTTTCCACCAGTCTTTCACTCTTTTTGTACGCCATATCCAATGTCTTTATATCCATCAAAGTTCACCCAAATGCAAAATAGATGACCATAACATGTATTCTTGTCTTCCACCATAAATTTCACCATTGCCACAAGCCTTCCTGGACAATTCTGTACTGGGCTCCATTGCCTTCAACTGGTTTTTTGCAGTACAGTGGTTTGAAAGAGCTACCACTTTCCACTCTGAACACATATGATGGTTTCCAGTCCAAATACAAAATATTTTTTTGAATTGCAGGCTATTCAATGTAAATCTTATTTATCTAAATTAAGTAGAATTTATATGTTTACTATTAACTTTTACATTTACTTTTCTACATAGCTCCATCGCCCACTAAGAGGACTTTTAAAATCAATACACCTAATTTCTTCTTCTTCTTCCAAAAAGATATAAATTAAAAATATAGAAATTTCCTTAAAGGAGGAGGTGTATAGCTCCTTGGATTATTCTGAAAGAAGCTATTACCTACCTCAGTCCTAGGGTATGAACAGAGAAGACAGACAACTTTTGTACTACTTGAGTGAGGAAGGCTATTTGGCTTCTTTTATGTTTTTCTTTCCCTTAGATCAATTTTCATAATCTGGTTTTGTTACTAATCAAAAATGTATGAAAAAGGGGTTCAAATGCTTTCAGACTTTTGGGGATCTTACATTATCTGTTCCTCTCCTCTCTTTGTTAACATGGAGAATGGCAAATTGATTGTATTACAGAGCCAAAATGACCTCTAGAAAGAAGTATAATTTCAGTTTCCTTACCTGTAAATAGCTAGTATGACATCACTAGGGCAAATTACTTTTAATGATTTAATTACATTTATGGTTTTAAGCTACATTCCACCCAAACCACATGCACAAAAAATAACAATGAAAATATTTAATATGAAACCCAGCAGGAGTCCTTGTTTCTGAAAATTTTTGCAAAGTCTATAGTTATTTGAATATACTTTTACCAAGCTGAAACTTGTTATCACATAGACATAGAAGCCTGTTGAGATTTCACACATGAACTGAGATCATCTGTTAAAACAATATTCATAGGGAAGGTTTTTCAGGGCATGGTATTTGGCTAAGAACATTCACATTTTATAATCTCATGTAAGCTATAATGGATTTTACCTGGATTCCTTGGAATTCGCTTTCTGCGATCTCGGAATGCTGCACCTGATTGTAGGGCTTCCAGAAGATTATCCATTACTCCAGTCTCATCACCCTCTGGAGGGGATAGTAGAAATCAGAATTAATATTGGAGCAATTAAAGTTAAACTACAGGAAAATAAAGGGAAAAACTCCTGTCAGATTTACATTATATCCCTAAATTAAAGACATATATCTGTTTAAGCCTAATGGATCCTGTCAATTTCTAGCACCACAGACTACTTTGCTTATTATGCACCATTAAGCAAAATTCATGCCAATCCCACTGTTCTTTCAACTTAAGGACCTTGTCTTTTGTATTATTGATGACACACTCAGTATGCAAATAAACAGTAGCTGATCAGCTACTGCTGAGTTCCTGTTAAGATTCTCTTAAGACATTCCTAAGCAAGAAACCACTGACCTGGCTTAATACAATCAATGTGCAGGGCATGATTTGATGAAGCGGAGTTACACAAGGTTAAATACTGATTGTATTAATACCATCAACATTCAACCATCATCTGCGATTATCTCAAAAGACACTATTTTCTAAACACATTTGCATTCAATTTGTACCTAATCCATATCCTTTACCCATTTCAAAATGCTGACATTGTAGAAGGAAAAGGTGACCAAATCATTTGAAAGGCCGCATTTTACATTTGAGAGACATTAGCCAGAGTCTCATCATCCCTTTTAGAATGCTGTTGTGTTTCTAATTTTTTCCTATGGGAAAGAGCTGCTAAGATTCCATGAGCAGGGTATTCAAAAGATGTATATGGAAATTCCTAATGGAAATACACTTAAAACATTTTACCCTACTCTTATCTTTGACAATTCTGGACATCAAAAACACATTTAAGATTTATTAGAGCATTTGCCTCAAGGTGTTTATTGCCAGAAACTCTAATACACTGTGGACAATCCACAAGTGAGCTGAGGCCCATCTTACCATCCAGCCTCGCTGATGATAAAAAGCATCCTAACTAACTGGTTAATTTGAGTGGTAGCTCAATGTGTGGGTCTAGGTTAGAGGACATTTGTAGGCAGAAAGGTTAAGAGAAGACAGGAGTGAAGGAGAAGAAACTGTTTTTGATGCTATTCTAAAGTTAAATTTAAATCCTACTTTGTTTAAAGAATGACTACAGGGTATCAGATCACAGAAGAAAAAATTCTCTTATGGGGCAAGAACAAGCTAAAACCTCTTTTGATTATGCCCTTTGTTTGACTTGAGATTTCTTCAATGTTACATCAATCATTTGTTCTTTTAAAATGAATTCACTAGGACATGATATTAAATAAAAAACAAAGGGAAGCACAGCGGTTCTCGGGTCTAATATTTGGTAAAAACAGAAAAAATGAAAGGAAAGTAGAACCCCAATGACTAACCAGGGAAAGGGGATTATGCACATTTAGGAATATTAAAGCTGCAGACACATCTAAATGGTCACCTGCTATCTATAATAGAAAGAAAAGAGGAACTGAAAGTAATTTGGCATGGCTAGAATGTACCTGGGAGAATTACATTTTATGCAGGAATCACTTTACATTTGTTGTATCTTTTAATCCGACAACACATTGAAATAGGTTTTATTTCTGTTTTTCATCTGGGGATACTGAAATTTAGAGTTAAAAGCATCTTGTTTCAGATCACACAGCTGGCATGTGGAGGGGCCCACGTATGAACCCAGGTCAGTCTTGACACCAAGACCAGCCCTCTTTGCATGCAGCTAGCAGAGGACAGAATGGACTGGGCATATGGTGACCAGATGATAAAAGATCATCATTTCATGATATGCGTTTGAGTACTTTTCTGTAAGTTAACACTCTCCAGTAGAAATATATAATGCAGGCCAAACATGTGAGCTGCATAATTTTAAACTTTCTAGTAGTCATATTTAAAAAAAATAAAAAGAGATGAAATTTATTTTCATATGTTAAATAAATGTTTAACTCATTTATATATATAATCATTTGTTTTTTACATTCTTTTAATCAGATTAAATCTCAGAAATCGAATGTGTTTTTATTTTGACACATTTCACTTCAGATTAGCTACATTTCAATTGCTTGTTACTTTTATGTGGCTAGTGGCTACTGTATTGGTAAACATAGCTATAAGCAATAGGAAGTGACTTGATCAGATTTACATTTATTTATTTATTTAATATAGTTTATTGTCAAGTTGGTTCATATAACACCCAGTGCTCATCACAACAAGTGCCCTCCTCAGAGCCCATCACCCATTTTATAGGTCTGAGAAAATATGATTATATTTTGAACAGCATTTAGGTAGAGATATCCAGTAAGCAGTTGAAAATATTGGTCTGAAACCCAGGATTGAAGTCTGGGCTGAAGCTAAAGATTCGAATACTGTTGGAAGATTCATGAGATCACCCTGAGGTACTCTACAAGAAGAGACCATAGGATGCAATTCCCGAGTACCTCAATTTTTATTAGGCAGTCAGAAGAAGTAGAATTGTAGAGAAGACATAAAGGAATTTCTAGAGATATAGAAGTACAACCAGAAGCAAACCATAGTATAACTGAATTTCATGTATCATTATAAAAAAGTCATTATAAATACCATGTAGAAAAACAAATATAGGTATAAAAGTGAAAAAAACCTGACTACAAAATGGTATGTATTTGTCACTTTACATAAATAATGTTCAAACATTAAAAAAATTATAACATAAAGATATGGAGGCTATTTCATTAGAATTCTTTAATGTATTATATATACATTTACTAAAAAGATGGAACAAATATGATATAGAGAGGAATTAAAAATAAATTCCTTTACTTAATTAATGGTTGCCAGCTGACAGCACCTGTCAAAATATTATGCTAGATTATGGTTTCTAAACCTTTTTTCCCATTATCATTTCTCTCCTCCCCCTTTTTAGAAATTTTTCCTCATCCCCCCACCATTTAAATTTAATACAACAGATGTACTGCATATCTGTTTACATAATGTGGCCCTTTGGAGGGTCACAAACAATTGTAATATCTAAGCTTTTTCTCTGCCCACCTCCCCAAGAACAAATATTCATCCACTTGGGGGTGATATACTGTCTCTGATGAGAAGGCATGTGCTAGATGGTTCTTAAAAAAAAAGAAAAGAAAAGAAAAGAAAAAGGCTAGGTCTCTGTAAATATCATTGATGTATTAAAAGAAAGAAATGTAGGTTTCAATCCACCATTACTTTTTCTTTTGCTCCATAACTTTTCATGAGTTGAGAGATTTTCCTGAAATACATAGCCTGAAGGAATGAAGGGTTTATAAATATCATAGAACTGATTTATATTTCAGTTACTCTTTCTAAAACAAAATGGGAGCTAAAATGATCATTTGAAAGACATTATCCTTTATTTTAAATGAATTTCAGTGAAATTTGGTATGCAGTTGAATTGTGTGAGGTTGACAATTCACTTAGAATTTCCAAGTTCATAGAACTATTAATTCTTACTTGGACGTGCTTTGTAATGAGTAGTTGTTTTTATTTTCTATTTCTTAGTCTATGAGGTCAAACTCAGGGAAAAAATGTCTTTTTTTTTCATTGAAAAGGAAAATAGTTTTATTGAATTGCATAGAAAATTGTGTTTTTTTACTTCTTTCAAAACTTATTTTACTGAGTGAAAGAATATCAAGGAAAAATTGGTAATGCTTTTTGGCCACTAAAATGGTAATATATGGGCATGTCTGGGAAGTAACAATTCAGAGGCAAGTTTCTAACATTTGATCCTGAAATTAGATCACAGGCAGTATTAAGGAGCTAGCTAGGCATGTTACATGCAGTCCACTGGGGCTCTGTGTGAGCTACATATCTTTGGGTAAAATGAAAGACATGGAATATACCTTCTATTTCATGTTTCCAACAGTGTTGGTCATTCAGTGGATACAGAATGTCTGTTGACCTCAAATTTTCATCAACATTTACCTCTGTTGTGTTCATTTAATCTTCCTCAGAAGAGTTTGGAGATGCCACAGATTAATATTAGTTCTAGGTAAATTAACTATATCTGGAACACCTTTGTGCAAGACTATTCCCCAATGGGTAGCACAAACTTATTTAGAGGCAATTCTCTGTGGGCTTCTCAAATTTCTGTGCATTTTATGAGCACAAGTATTGATGACCTTTTTTCTGGACTATCTTTTTATAGTTAACACCCTTGAAAGATACAGTGTCTCCCTTCAGAGCCGATGGTAGGTCTGTTTGTTTTGAGGACAGATTATATTTTCCTCTAGGGAAATTTCAGGCAGTTTACTTTCATTTTATTATAAATGATTTGGGTTCCTCAGAAGTAACACAAACCCACTGTGCGCATAGCATCCACTTGAGCTCACCTTGGTATTGCCATGGGGGAGTTGGAAGGCAAGGGAAAACAATATGAGCATGAAGCTCACACTGCTGGCTGTACCGTGAATGACAGAATTCTTTGTCTCTGACCCTGGAGTCTTGTTTCTTTTGCAAGCATTCCTGAAATTAAGGCAGCTTGACTTGTTAGCATACAAGAAGGGTAAAATCTCTGACCCTTCACAGTTTTTGAAAATGCTCTGAGGGGTGCTGGGTGGCTCAGTCGATTGACTGTCAGACTTCAGTCAGGTCATAATCTCCCAGTTCATGAGCCCAAGACCCATGTCAGGCTCTGTGCTGACGGCTCAGAGGCTGGAGCCTGCTTGGGATTCTGTGTCCCCTCCTCTCTCTAACCCTCTCCCACTTGCTCTCTGTCTCTCTGTCTCTCTCAAAAATAAATAAACATTTAAAAAATGCTTTGAAATCGCCTTTCATTTTATAAAACATTTTAAATTACAAAATCCCTTATTCTTCTAAGAACCTAACACTTAGTGCCTTGGACATTCCCATCACCTAAGACCCAACTCCAGTTCATTACTCCTAAAAAATGACTAAACTAAAGCCAATACTATAAAATTTATTTCCTAAGATCCTAACAACCTGGGCATATGGCTTTAATTCACTATAGCCTCCTTGAATTCTCAATTGTATAGTTAAGGCTTTCTGGAAAAGTTGAGCTGCTCAAAAGTTGAAGAAGTTATCAAAAACAAATCAG